TTCAGTGTGAGCTTTTGTGGATTACAATCCAGTTCTCCAGACCCACGAAACACAATATCCGTGTGATTTTGCTTCTGCCTGTATTAAGGTCCCCAATTCAATGCCAAGTGGTAGAACTGAGAATACCTAGCAGTATACACTGCACATTATTAGTGCTATCATTCATGCCATTTTTGTTGTATTAATAACAGCACTTGCAATTTAAAACAGTAGCCAAGTAGGTTTCCACCTTTTTTTTTCTTTTCAGGAGGTCATAGTTCTCTTCCAGTGGGTGCAATCCAGACTAGCCAAGATGGCTGAGGACTGAGTGATCTGATGCTAAGCCTGCTGTGGCTGTGCCCATTTCAGCCTAGGGATGTTAGAATTACTTTAGCCTACTTTTACCTTTGCCTATCTTTATGCCTGCCTAGGGTTTCACAATCTGGGGTGAGAGAGGTTTGGATGTGGTTCTTCCCCTCCTCTATCACTGCCCCGCCCACCTTTGGGTCTTCTCCCAGTTTATCTCTGCCAGCTATGTTAGCCATTGGGCTGGCAAATCCAGCAGGGTCAGCAGATCTGAGATCTGCCAACAGAAGAGAGTTGTGTCATGGTGGCCTGCCCATTCCGAACCCACTGCTGCTGGCAGATTTTGAATTTGGATACCACTGCCCATTGCAATAGACATTTCTTTAAAACAACAGTGGGAATGTCACTACATGATGATGTACTGTCATTCCCATTCTCACTGGGATGAGAGGGAAAAGATGGCAGTTCTTGTGGTCTAACATGAGAAGCAATTGGCTGCTACAGTAGGTGCAGGAGCATGCCTCTGTTTAATATAAATAAAAATAAAAGGGCAGAGCATAAAATTGAAAGGAAAGATGGGAGGCATCAGACACATTTATCTTGCATCCGTGTCATGCATTCTCTGCTCAAAAGTATTGTGTTCTTTCTGGAAAGTTTGTGAAGGTTGCAGGAAGTCTCTCACCATGCCTTCAACAAAGTAGAAAGGGTCAGTGAAGGTGGAAGGTGGTGTGAGCAGCCATATTCTTCCAAAAAAAGAGAGAGAGTCTCTTCTTTTCCCCAACTCCAACATGTACTATATCAAAGGTGTTTTACTCCATCAACATTAGCGGAGTACCTAATCTTGACAACCTTTCTCAGTTATTTCTTCTCGGTTTCTTTTTACCTTCTGTCAAGCTGAAGTTTGACTTGCTTGGTAATTGCTTAAGAGCTGCTGAAGGTTTCTGAAGACAAAATATTAAAGGCATCGCACCATAATTAATTTACCAGGCCCAGCAAAACATATTGCATCTTCCCAAAATTGCTGACTTGAGTGCACCTCATTCATTGTGGGAGAAAGTGAAACCACAGAGTGCTATTATAAGGCAAACGTTAATCTAGATAAGGTGCTAATCAGCTCTCACACAGGAAATTATTCTTTGTCATACAATCCAAAGAGAGGCCATAGTTTAAAACATAGACTGAATTTTCTGCAAAAGGAAAACAAAGAAATGAAACATTATTGTCAAAGTCAAAGGATTCCATATTTAAATTTGATCAGCCACGTTTTAAATATGTTCCCTTGTGGTTTAAGCAATCTAAAGGTATAGGAACAAGTCATTCAATCTGTTGTCTTTTGGACGGAGCACTTTGTTTCTTTGTTGAAGGGAGGTTTTCATTTGATTATCCTGTTCGACTGCTTGTGGTCCGCCTACAGCTCAGGCGGGCAGCCCCAACCTCTGCTGGTCTTGTGCTTGGCTAGGATGAAAAACTAGAGAGTCTCACAGTCTTCACTGAAACCTTCTTCTTAGGGCTACCAGCTCAGCAGCATCCCATTCTGTGAGATTTCAAGGTCAAAGTTGAGTCCTTGGGGGGGGGGCGTGTTGTGGTGCCATAGAGATGGGGCAGGCAACATTTGGGAGGAAAACGAGCATGAGGCACATGCCAACACCTTTATGTTGAGCCAGGTGGAAATTGGTAGGCATAGCCACATAGGCTTTAAGAACGCCTGACACAGATACAAGCCAAACGTTTTCCTCTGCCAGCACTGCTTGTCCCAAGATCTGTCTCTCTGCCTGGAAGCACGGAGAAACAGAGCAATTCCCCAAGAATTAATTAATTATTTGACTTGTATACCACACCAGTTAGTGATAAACACTACTCAGGGTGGTTTGTGTCCAATAAGAAACGTATATAAAATGAAATAAACTGTTAAATAATATACTAAATACGGACCCCCACATACGAACAAATAAGGCAACCCCCCCAACAAATAAATTCCAAATTAAAATCAAAGGTCCATGAGCAATATAAAGATGCTCAACCCATGCTACACTAAGAGTGGATGCTCTTAAAACTTTTATGTGAACAGCCTTGTTTTGTTATGTAAACAGCCTCTTGAAAACTCTGAGGGAGGAGACCAGACATAGCTGCACCACAAGCCTCTTCCAAAGGGGACTGGGCCATGACCAGATAGGCCCTGGTGGATTACTTCCTTGTCTCCCAGCTGCCCAAAGGAGCATGGCCTGGGAGAATCAATTGGTACAGGTAGAGATTTTTTTTTTAAAAAAAGTCCCTCCAACAAGTACCAAGGTCCCAAACTGCGAAGGGCTTTATAGATAAGAACTAACACTTTGAATGTGGCCCAGTCAGCCAGCATCTTGCAATCTTGAAATAATACTTTTCATGGTAAACACTATAAAAATCCGCTCTCTTAATCCAGGGTGAATTCTAGTGTATCCAGTCTTTTTTTTCTTCCTTCTATAAACTGCATGTAGAAATATTATTATCTTTCTCCACTTCCATGAATCCAATTCCGCTTCTGTCTCTATCTTCTATGCACACTGTATTCAACCCACAGCATTATAGATGAGGAAGATACAATTCACACAAGCATGTGACTTTTACCCTTATTTTTTTTAAAAAAATTGTTTCTCAAGTCAGTGTTTTTCCACTGCTGCTTCCATTTTTGTTATCAGAAAAAAGGAGGGAAAGCTAGAAATCAGCTTTAAAAACACCCAAAGTCACAAAGCTAAATTGACTTGTTTTTCCCAACTGCAGTCAACCCATCAAATAAAAGGGTTTTCTTAAGTCACCAGAAATATATGATCTTTTCATTCAGTGGACTTACTTTGGCTGAGAACTAACAAGTGGATTTGGTCCATATTTCCTACAATCTAAAAAGTGATAAAAGAATCACAGACAGAACACCAGTTTGGTTGTTATGGGTTTTTCGGGCTCTTTGGCCGTGTTCTGAAGGTTGTTCTTTCTGACGTTTCTCCAGTCTCTGTGGCCTGCATCTTCAGAGGACTGAACTCTGTCCATGCTCTGTTGCTGTTTGTTGGATAGTACAACAAACCTGTTTGTTTGCTTGATAGTCATATATGTACTAGTATAAAGTGAAAGAAGCAAGCATGGCAATTTCGTAGTAAACTTGTAGGGGAAAACAATGGGCAAAATAATGATGTAGGTGTTTAAGCCTACACAAATGTTCCAAGCATTACATCTGGTATCATGGTTTCCCAGTCACACACCTCTCTCTATAGCTACTCAGCCACACTAATCTTGCTCACCCTGGGGTAAGACAGACCAGGTAGGCATCAGATATGGTGATGGCTATGGAAAGTGTGTGAAACCATAACATTCCCAGTCGGCTTAGTCTTTGGGGGTGGGAGAATGAGTCTCACTGCTCAGATGTGGAGTGACTGGGTGAACAGGGAGGTGGGGCTGTAGCAGCCAGGCTACTGCCATGGTTGGGGCGCAGGAGATGCCGCTGGCCACATGCACTGCACAGTAAGTGGTGCGGCAAGTTCTGGGGGTTGGTGGTAATCAAGTTGGTTAGCTATGCTGGTGGAATTTTTATTCGTTGGGACGTGGTGGCGCTGCGGGCTAAACCGCAGAAGTCTGTGCTGCAGGGTCAGAAGACCCAAGCAGTCATAAGATCGAATCCACGTGATGGAGTGAGTGCCCATCGCTTGTCCCAGCTCCCACCAACCTAGCGGTTCGAAAGCATGCAAATGCAAGTAGATCAATAGGGACCACCTCGGTGGGAAGGTAACAGCGTTCCGTGTCTAAGTCGCACTGGCCATATGACCACGGAAGATTGTCTTCGGACAAACGCTGGCTCTATGGCTTGGAAACAGGGATGAGCACCGCCCCCTAGAGTCGAACACTACTGGACAAAAATTGTCAAGGGGAACCTTTACCTAATATGAAGCCCCCATATCTAAAATCTTGCTAGGCAGCTGCTCTACTCCCGGCACAAACACTGAAAAAAACCTTTCCTGCACCTTCTGTAGGCTACAACCTAGCTTGTTTGTTTTATGATTGGTCATTGGGAGGTAAGCACAGGCCTCATGTACAAGTATGACTGCTTATTCATGAAAACCTGCTTAAATTGCATCCAGAAAAGTGTCTGCTGTATTGACACTTTACCTGTAACGTATCATTTGGTCTCTAGTTTGGAAACATCCCAGTTGATTCTAATTCCTGCCTAACTGTTGCTTCCTTACCAATGTGGCACAATCACAACCAATTCTGTCATCATGCCAACACTGAGGAATATCCTGTCATGCAGAGAATACTGCTGACTCAATATGTCAAACTCATTTCCCACATGCCTCTGTGTTAATTTCTTGTCTCATTAAAAATATTCTCTATAGAATAAGCAAACAAACTCTTGTCATGCCTTAACTGCTTCTTTTCCCCAGCCCAGGTTTTCTCATTCTCTCTCTCTTTTTTGTCTCTACAACAGAGCAATTTGAGGGGATTTAATACCACAGTGGGGCATTTTAACACAAAAACATGACTAGATTCATATGGCTTTTCGGTAACTATTCAAGCATTCCTTTGCTAATAAACCTCTTTACTGGCAACGTGCAGGTGTGCATTTTTCCACAATGAAATGACAATTTAAAAGTGGGTTGAACCAAACCCTGATAAAAGAAAGATTAGTCTTACATACCACCAGTCTTTTTATTTTCTTTCTTCATAGGGTTCGACAAAGCTGTAAAAAGATATGCAGCCGTTAGCTCCTACTGTTCATGCAAATGCGAGGAGGGGTGTGCATCTAATTTGGATGATGCCCAAGGCCTGGACCAAATGGGACCACTTTGGAACAGCTTCTGTGTTACTTCTTGGTAAGAAAAGTTTTAGCCAAGCAAAGTATTTGAATAGACCTCCCACCACCTTGTCTCTATTATTGCCTTTTCCAGAGAGTCTTTTCTTCTCAGGATATGTGCAAAAAATGTGATCCTTCTTTTTAGGCTCAGTATAGTCATTTTGGCTTCTAAAAAGAGCTGAGTCTTGATTGGAACTATTTCTCATTCATTTAGACCACTAAAAAGACAAACCCGTTGTTACTAGGTCAAATTAAAAAGTGACTAAATTGAGGTTACAGTACATCATGAGAAGACGAGACTGCTAGAAAAAGACCAGAATACTGGAAAAAGTTGAAGGTAGCAGGAAAAGAAGACTCTTAATGACAGAAACTTCTGGAAATCACTAAGGCATAGGTTTCTCATGGCCAAAATCCTAGCACATTTTTACACCACTGTTACACAATCAATGCAAATCTCAGTGGTGAATTGCTACCAGTTAAGAAGTTCCATGTAGGCATTTGCAGTTGGTGCCACTTTGCTGCCTTCTTAATTTGTGAAAATTTGCTGCCAAGATTTGCACATATTGCTGAAGTCCTATTGATATAAATTTATACTTCATGAGCTGGATGATGTCATAATCCAGAAAGGGTTAATTACGTTCCAACCTGCCTATTTCGTCCTTCAGGTTGTGAGGCTCACAAGGGATCCCTTTTGCCCTGGGAAGCTTTTGGGAGACTTTTGGGATGGAGGAAGGGAGCTGTTAATACTAGAAAACTGCTGCCGTGTCTGAGGAGGTAGTATGAGGCTGGAGTCCATGACAGCTCACACTGAAATAAAGCTGTTACTCTTTACAGTGCACTAATGCTTTTGTTTTTACTTTTTCCTGCTGAAACAGATGAAGAGGGCTACTTTTTGGAAAGCCAACAAGGCTATCGTTCATATTTGTACATGGGTAGAAGAGACTTGCCTTCTGTCTGAATTGACTTTCTTAGCCATCAGCAACATCATCAAATCTGGTTGCCTGAATGACAATGTCCTTAGAAGCAACCAAAGAAAAGAACAAAGCAATTGATCAACTGAATTAATGTAACAGAAAATTAAAGGTCCAGCAAACTTTGGGTAAATTCTAATAGGGTTAACATAGAACTTGATCAAATGAAAGAAAAAAAAATAAAACATCACTTTTGTTTCTCAGACTTACATTGTTTTCAGCCTTGCTTTTTTGTGCTTTACTTTTGTTAAAAAAGTAATTTTACTGAATTGAAACACATAGTACCTGTTTCTCCATGGACTAGAATTTGCATATTTTAGAATGCAGTTATTGGTTTCATCTCACATAGATGAGTGTCAAGGATAGTAAACATGCACACTAAATATTTCTGAAAGGAGTAAGACTTGTATACACAGATATCCACAAATGAGACATCAGCTGAAATCCTGTTCTGAAAATTATGCTTCAAAAGACTGACAATATCGTCAGCCATAGGGATTGTTCGGAAATAAAACTTTTTGGACTTCTCCCCTGAAGGTCCTCCTGAGGCTCGCATGAAATCCCTATCCTCGGGGAGACAGAGAGAGATAGAGAGAGAGAGAGAGAGAGAGAAGGGCAAACAGACAGATGGGGGGGACTGGAAGAGAGTGAAGGCATGCATGCTTGCTTGTGTCTGTGTGTCTTTGTGTGAACACTCACTTTTGCCCCTGCTGCATCCACTACTGATTGTTGCGCCTTCCACCTCACCAGCTGTAATGCCCACCAGCCACCAATGCTCACTGTTCTGTTGTGTGCCCCATTCTGACTGGCTATTACTCCTTCATGGTCTGAATCTAAACCAGTCAGATGAAGGCAGTTTTCACTAGTAATGATGCCACAGTCCCCTTCACAAATATCCACAAATGAGACATCAGCTGAAATCCTGTTCTGAAAATTATACTTCAAAAGACTGACAATATCGTCAGCCATAGGGATTGTTCGGAAATAAAACTTTTTGGACTTCTCCCTGAAGGTCCTCCTGAGGCTCGCATGAAATCCCTATCCTCATTTGGAACATGTTGGGGTCCAAAAATTGCTGTCAGCAGTCAAGTCCTCCATAACCTATGGAGCAGGATTTCTGCCTTTGTGCTGTTTTCTTCTTTGTGACCTAATGTAGCAATCAACCTTCCCGCATCCTTTGGGTCATGCCAGGCATCAGTGACCTTGGATCAATCACCTTCAGCCTGGTCTACCTCACAGCTTGGATGAAGTTAGTAGTGGTTTGCTACTAGATGGGAAAGGAAGGAAGGAAGAAAGGAAGGAAGGAAGGAAGGAAGGAAGGAAGGAAGGAAGGAGAGAAATATGCACCACCTTAATCTCATTAAAGGAAAGGCAAGATATAAGTGCAGCTTATAAAGAGATATCTATCTGTCTGTCTGTCTGTCTGTCTGTCTGTCCGTCCGTCCGTCCGTCCGTCCGTCCGTCCGTCCGTCTGTCTGTCTGAAAATGTACATTCTGCTGTTCTATCCTAGCTCTATCCAAGCTATATCTATCTATCTTTCCGTCCGTCCATCCGTCCGTCCGTCCGTCTGAAAATGTACATTCTGCTGTTCTATCCTACTTTGGATATAATCCCTGAGTCAGGGGTGGGAACGATGAAATCCCACCCACCCACCTACTCACCCTTTTTGGACTGAAAAATGTAAAATCTTCTATATTTCATGCCGTCTGCTCCAGTCAGGATGCCTTTGATTGCATGTGTACTCAAAGTCAGATTTCAGTGGGAGTATGCCAGCTATCTGAATATCTCTGTGAGCAACTCCGAGGAGGCCAAATGTAAACATATTGTCGTGGGTAAAAACGCCAGTCCCAACATCCCTTCTTAAGCCCTTTACTTGACCCTGAAAGATCAGCTAATCTAGGTGAGAACTAATTCTGTTTTCTTGCTTCTCCAGTCTTGGTTTTTCCTTGACAGAGATTTAGGAAAGGAAAGCAAACAGCTGATGGAATAATAAACCCTCTTATTAAAAATATGTAGAGAACTTTTATTTATAGTGGAACCCGCTCAAATAAATATGCCGTTAACAAACTTGTGTAAGGAATTATAGTATTACATAGTGTACCTAGTGATGAAATAAAATGCCACAAGACAAGTGGTGAAACCTGATGATTGATTATCAGCCCTGTTAAGCAAATAAACCAGCACCAACTAATGATAATCCATTCTGATGAACGTCTCATTACACTGAATGCCCAATAAGGAAATAATAAGCCAGTTCAAGAAATCAATTGCTTGTATTCAGAGCTGGATATGTTTAGTTCTGGACTTTAGTATATACTGTGGAAATACACAGATGCATGTATGTATCTTCAACCAGCTTTTATCAATGACCACTGTGATTGGGGTCTTGATGGGCTCAAATCATTCCTCAGAGATTGATTCAGGTAGCCTTTCTGCTCAAGAATGGGAATACAACAGCATACCATTCAGTGGTCTTATGAGTGTGAATCGAATAAGAATTGTAGTCATTTATTGTTTTTAAATATAAATAAAATATTCCATTTAGGTCTGGAACCAAACAGCTATCGATGTTCACAACTCAGTGAGGCACAGTAAGAATGGTTGACCATGTCTTCAGTTTTATGGGGTGCTCTTTGCCACAACTGGAAAGCACTTTCCTTTAACAATTGTGGGGTTTAGATGGCTTTCTTTTAAAAAAAAATTATGCTGCTACTGCTGCACACAAATGGCAGACATGAACTAATAGCTACTGTCTTGATGTTATAGTGGCCATAATGTGTACTTCTAAATTTCTTGGGTGCTGCATCATTTTAGAGTTTTCTGAGGGAAAGTAGCTAAGCTCACAACAGCTTTGCAGCTTCATACACAGATGCAAAATGCTTTGGAACAGTGCTGCATCCAGGTTGCTAATAAAATGGCAGTTAATAATATGGTGGCTATATACAACAGAAGCAGGGGAGGCCTTTCTCTCAGTACTGCCACCTTCACAGATGCATTTGGTGGGGAGACAAGAGAGGACCTTCTCTGTTGCTACTTCAGACTCTGGAACTCCCTCCCGTGGGAGGCCAAGCTGGCCCCATCTTTGCTGTCCTTCCACAAGCATGTGATGACCTTTCTCTTCAGGCAGGCTTTTCATAGTGACTGGCTGTCTAGGAGGAGTTTTAAAATGGGGTGTTTTTCAAAAATCTGTTTTTGCAATGTTTTTATCCAGCATTTTTTTACTTAATGTTTCTTTAAGGTAAAGGTAAAGGTTCCCCTTGACAATTTTTGTCCAGTCGTGTTCGACTCTAGGGGGTGGTGCTCATCCCCGTTTCCAAGCCATAGAGCCAGCGTTTTTGTCCAAAGACAATCTTCCGTGGTCACATGGCCAGTGCGACTTAGACATGGAACGCTGTTACCTTCCCACCGAGGTGGTACCTATTTATCTACTTGCATTTGCATGCTTTCGAACCGCTAGGTTGGCGGGAGCTGGGACAAGCGACAGGCGCTCACTCCGTCGCGTGGATTCGATCTTATGACTGCTTGGTCTTCTGACCTTGCAGCACAGGCTTCTGTGGTTTAGCCCGCAGCGCCACCACGTCCCACTTAATGTTTCTTTAACTCTTTTTAAATTGTGTACAACTTACTGTATTTAGCTTTTAAATATTTCTTTTTTATGTTGTGAGCCACCTTGAGCCCCTTTCAAGAAGAAATTCAGGATAAAATACTTTAGATTAATGAATGAATAAATGAAAAGCAAAAAGTACAAAAACAGTTCTCCATTTTATTATTGGTAAAAGTAACTGATGCCAGTGTTTGTGACCCTCTCTACCCACAGGCCCCGGTTCACTTTGCCCTTTTACACAATAGCCACTCAAACAATAAATTCAGTCCTTATCCCAGCCCTACTATTATTTATCTCTCCATCTCTGTATGTTTTTCTGTAAATTACATCTGCCTCTGCCCAAGGGACACAAGGCCATGGTCAAAGTTCAAGCTACATAGTCCTCTTCCCCATTTTTTTTCCTCAGAAAAACTTTATGAGGTCAGTTAGTCTCAGAGATAGCCACTCGCCAAGGTCACCCGATGAGTGCCATGGTCAAATGGATTCAGGACCAGTTCAATACTAACCATTACCCACACTGCTTCTACTACTTCTCCAGTTGAAAGTAGATTTTATCTGTGTGTATGTCTATGCCTATGTATAAGCTAGACAGAGCCTATGAAATCTACCTATGTATAAGCACAAGAGCAGGTGCTAAGCAATAACTGGAAATCTAGGGAATGATCCATTTATAAAATTTGGATATTTCTAAATGCTTTTTTAAAATGTTTTAAATCTTGATAAATATTTAATTAATTTTTAATATATAGTTTTATTTTAACTTGTCATTATTGTATCATTTTAATTGTTGTGAACTGCCTTGGATCCCCTATTGGGAGAAAGGTAATCTAGCTTCAAAATCAGTAACTACTGACTAGACCAACAAGATATTCTAACAGAATCCTCTAGATTTTAGTTACTGGAGTTGTATTGAATCAAAGCTGACAACGCTGCCTTCAACTCTGGCACTTGACACTAATTAGATTATAGATCAGGCTCTAACCTATGGGCTGGAAATACATTTGGCATAACATGAATAGGTGACATAGCATATAAAGTTACAGTGGAGACATGGCATTCTGTTTTGCTTAATTTCAGCAAAAGGCAAGTGGGGAAGAACAGCACATCAACACCACATGGTAAATGAAGATCCTTATGTCCCAATGATTAAAGAATGACTAAAAAGGCCACAGCTTGACAGTTAGACAAACAAAAACAAGTTAACCCCACAGGCTAATATGCTTGGCAACTAATGAAAGGGGAATGGAGGACAGCTCTTTTCCCATTATTAGTCACATAACTCACAGAAAGAATGCATCAGTCAGAAGGGTTATGAATACCCTTGCATGGTATGATCACTGTGTCCCCAAGCTCCGGAAGGCTCCACGGTGATCATGTATAGCAACAGTCAGTGCTCATGTAAGGATGGTTTTATATACTGGTGTCAAACTATATGATGCAGAAAGTATCTTAGCTGAAGCTATGTTAATATTCTCCTAACATCAGAATTGGGCAATTAGCTATATTTACTTTCCATGGCACACATCAAACTATCCTATCCTTCCTGACATTTTAATAAAAACACCCAAAGAGATCATTCCCCCATTCTTCCCAGCAAAAT